TAAAGTTTCGTGGGAACGAAGTTACGGAAAATCAACTAACGAACGGAGACGTAACAATATTATGAAGTTAGTTGTCTAGAATGTCATTCAAAAAGCCTGTAATTACTTCCAAGTAGTTTGGACACATTCTAATATTCCAGTACACACTATTTTTAATTAGAGTTAATTATTTATTAATTAAAACTGTGGACAATGGACCAAATGTAACATACTGTGAGTAACGCAACAACAACGTAAAAAGGGATATTACCTAGGATTCGGTAAGAGTGCAAACAAAATAAGAATTTCTGAGAGGGAGGAAGAGATTTATGCTGAACTTGACCCTCCATGGTCCAAAACATGGACCGAATACTGACGAAGATGATGTATGTACACACTATTATATGTAGATTATTATTAGTAAGCCTGTTAGGAACTGGCACTAAACAAATAACATTCCAAACTTTTGTTCTACTTAAGTGCTGTAAAAACAAAAATAATCTGCACCAAAGTATCTCGTATCATTAAAAAACATTTTTTTTTGCAAAAAGAAAATTAAATTGAATGTAGATTATGTTGGATTAAAAAAAAAAAGCAGGAAATAAATGCCTACTGTTGAGTTTTATATGTTGATACATATTTCTCTAAGCCAGTAGTGAGGGTAGTAAAAAGAATCTACTGTACGTGTACTTCCTTAAAAAGTTTTGAAGCTGTAAAGCTTACTGTTAAATACATTGATTTTTAATTTCAATCTAATATGTTTTTGTTTTTCAATTAACAGATTTGTCAAAAAATTCATTAGTGGCAATCAACCAGATATTCCAAGTCGTAAAGATCCTACCTGGAAGGATGGTGTTGGAAAAGCAGAAAAAGCACTTGAAATGAAACCTGATGAAAGGGTTGATCTGGTTGTATGTGTGGATAGTTCAGGTGAAGAGATGACTGATGAAGAACTCGGTATGGAAAAGTAAATCGGAAATATTCGTCTGTTTTAATGCAATTGTAATAACTATCTTGGTCCAGTTTAATGTATGACAAAAAAATTTTGTTAACAGCAATTGTATCCAGATGAGGAAACAATGCATTGTAATGATTATAAATATTAGTTTGAACAATATATTTGATTAGCTTTTCTCATCTTTTCATCTATAAACAAGTGTAAAATGTGCATCAATCTTATCATCTTTCCCTTCAGCTCGTACCAATACCAGCAGATAAATAATGTTTGGATGATAAGGAGACCAAAATTAAGTACATGCTTCCATGTGAAATCTAATTATCATACTCAGAAACTGACAATTCCCGAGAGGGAGGAAGAGGTCTATGCTGAACCTGACCCTCCCTGGTCCAAAACATGATTAATGAGACTCACACTATCCCTATCTATTATCTAGTGATATTTTTCTGAATTGGATATTTTTTTTTTTCATATCATTGTGGTAAATTTTTTGTACGAGCTACTTATCCACATGCAAAAATTCTGTGTTAGAGGAGAAAGTGTAAATTGGTAAAAACTTTAAAATGATTAACAAAAATTTACTATTTATTTTTATATTTATCACTATTTTTCACCAATGAATAGTGGGGGCATTATAATGTGACAGTTAATCCCACTATTCATTGGTAAAAGAATTGTTTTTTCTTGTAATTATTTTCGCTTTCGTATTGATCTGTAATAAAGTAATATCCAGTTACTCAAAATCATGTTCCAAGTCTTTGATAATGTCAGCTTATATGAGGTAAAAATGAACTCTTTGATGTTGTATTTTTTTATTTTGTGGAATGTCACTTGTGTGATATAGTAATGTGTCTTCCAGTGACCCAAAACTATAATATACAATGCAGAATACCATCGTTACATGTTAAATGTCTTGTTAAGTTATGGAAACAAAGTTCTTGTGCAGTGCTTCCCTCTTTCAGATATCAGTAAAATGCTGCATTAATTGAAAGAAAAGCATGCCAGTTAAATTTATTAATTATAATAGCTGCAGACTGCTTTTCTGAATTGTTTTTTCTTGTAATTATTTAGAAGAAAATGATGTCATGTTGGAGTCGGTGGAAGAAAACTGCAACTTGAAAACTGAATCTGTAAGCTGTTTAAATATTTTCATTTCAAGTACTTCATTTTGTTTTTTAAACATAAAATATAAAAGTGGTAAGAATAAAGAATAAACGTGTTACTTCCTTTTCTAATTCATTAAAACTAATTTTTCTAGATTATGTATCCAATTGTTAAAATAGTTTAAAATCAGCATAAATATACTTCAATTCCATTGGATTTACATGTACAAATCCAGTTTTATTCTCTTGCTATACCAGTTTGAATCTAATTGATGACTACACGATACTATCTCAATATGGCATATAAGCAACTATATATTCACCCATAATTCATATTTTTGTATCAATTGAGTCTTTATCATTCAGAAGGGGCATACTTTACTTAACTTGCAATTTACCTGTTGTGGGTTTGAAACCCATCACTGAACATGCTTGCCCTTTCAACCATGGGGGCCTTATAGTGTGATGGTTAATCCCGCTGTTCATTGGCAAAGAGTAGCCTAACAGCTGGTGGTGGGTGGTGTTGATTAGATGCCTTTCTTCTAGTCTATCACTTCAAAATTACGGATGGCTAGACCTCAAATAGGTTGATATGAAATTCAACAAACAAACCCTTCAGAAGTATAAGTACACAAAGACATTGGTGTTTCTTAAAGTAATTTTTATCTGAATAGGACATATTTTTTTTTTTCTTATCATTGTGGTAGATATTGCACATGGAAAAATTCTATGTTAGAGGGGAAAGTGTAAATTGGAAAAAACTTCTAAATGATTAACAAAAATTTTCTATTTATTTGTATATTTATCACTATTTTTACTACTTTCAATTGTTAATAAAATTTTTTATATTATATCCTATGTATCACCATATATATGTTTTCTGTTACCGGACACAACGGCAAATTGTTAGCAAGAACATACATGCGGTCATCATTGTGCTGCCAATCACCTCATGAACTTGTGATGACACTTGAACATTAACAAAAACATCCCAAACAAAATTATAACAAATAAGTTATTTTTTAGTTGTTACAAAGTACCTGTGTCTGTATATGATAAAATTAAAGGAAAATATTCAACTTGTACAGAATCTTAGATTTGTTCACTGTCTTTCCCTTTTTTTGCTAACTTCACTGTTCCACAGTAGACCAAAAAAAGTTTATACAAAAAAATTACAATTTTATTTTTGCTCTTGTATTGATCTTTAATAAAGTAATATCCAGTTACTCAAGATCGGTCTTTGATAAAGTCAGTTTATGTGAGGTAAAATGACCTTTTTAGATGTACGATGTATATTAGTGGTATTCTTAAGTTGATGTGTATGTCTAAAATCTTTGTAATGTTTTGTTAGTGTAATTGTGCTACTTACTGGTTTTTTTACTTTTTCTTTTTGTAGAGTGGTAATTTATCTGAACAACGAGGGAGGAAACGTCGAATAATAATAGAATCTGAAAGTGAAGATTCTGTGGATGAATTTAAGCCTAATGATAAAGATGAGAGTGATTCTGACTCAATCAGTAGTGGTGTTGATGAAAATGAAATTTCAGAACCAGAACCTGAGTCTGAGGATCTCTCACCTGTTAAGGTCAGCTCCAAATAATGATAATTTGTGCTCTTCAGATGGTATTATTGGCTACACACAAAAAAAACACATAATTGGTTTTAAAGATAAAAATTACTTAAGGAAATTTTCACTATTTGAAAGTCATTACACAATTTGCAAAAAATAAATAAAAAATTTGGCATTATCATGTGTTCATTTGAGGTAATGGCCAGGTGGCTAGGGAGCTCGACTCACAATATTGGGGTCACGGGTTCCAATCCCCATCCCACCAAACATGCTTGCCCTTTCAACCATGGGGGCATTATAATGTGACGGTCAATCCC